CGTAATTCTTACCAGGGTTGCCTTAAGGTGGTTCTTGCATTTAGGTCAAACCGAGATAACTCGAAAAATATGATATCAAATGAAAGATTAACGTTCCTAAAGTGTGTATGAAAAATTTCGGATTTTTTTACCGCTTGGTTCCGGAGATATATGTCCGCAAACTTTGGCAATTTTACATATTAATAATAGGGAAAGGAGGGTCAGATCGCACATTCATGGAATACGTTCATACTTCTCGCCAAGATGAACGAATAAAAAACTGTTTAATTGATGCAATAAACATTTCTACAGATACTGACGCGACACCAAACTGATTGACCGTACCGTACCATAAATAAAGCGAAACTTCCGACGAACTTTCGGCAATTTTTGACACGACACGAGAGTCATGGCCGTCTTGAGTGGCAGCTTGGCAACGTCGCGTCGCACGGTCGCACGTGCTTCAGCTGACGCATAAGCACAAGGCGCGTGTCCTACCATTCTCCCACCGTTGAATTTAGGTTCAATGGATGTTATAAAGATAATACAATCTTTTTCGGCAGTTGTATGAATATATTCACTATCGATACACCGGCTGTCATCCTGTCATTAAAATTGCGACGTTGCCAAATGTATGGTTCCAACTCTAGTCAAATTTGTGATTTCGTTCTGATATTTTCAGTTTATACCGACGGTTCAATGAGAAAAAACCTTACGGAATAATTAATTTAAATGTACGCTGATTTTTACATACTAAATCATTCATATTTGTCATTAGTAATAATAGTTGCTTTTGTGACTTCAAAGTCCTGCAAGAACCACCTTAAACGTTCTCTAAACATTGCTTTCGTTAATTTAAGTCGCTTCTTTTTTCTTTTGATATAAATACGAATTATACTGATAAATGTCTTCTAGAGACGTGGAGCACGAAAAAGCTCTCAAACAAATTAAGCCTAAGGGAAAGCAGATTAATAATAATGTTTTTCTTCCGCTACGAATGAAAAAAAAGATAAGACGTAACTCGATGGCAAATAAAGTGATATAATACAGGTATATCGTCCCGCGTGTTAGAAAGTCGCCTCTTACGTCGGTGCAACCCAGCGATGCTGGGTGGATTAGCTGGCGTTTTCGCGAGAGCAACACGCGAGCTAAGCGGCAGCTTCGCTCGAGAATTGCTATTATGAAACTTGGTAGGCGATACACAACGCAGTGACGTGATAATGAAACATGCGAGAAGACCGGATTATCACGTGTCGCAAAACATCGATGCGGAATGCCGGGTACAGCGCCCGTATACTCGCGAGTCCAGGTGCGCTTTAAATCCAGGGAATTTACGCCCGCTCGTTCGTTCCTCGCAAAATATCTCGAGCACGAGGGGTAAAAAAAAAGGGCAGAAACGAGGAGAGAAAATGTCCGGATCAAAGAGTCGCGAGAATTAAACGCAGTCCTATGCGGCACGTTTAACGCGGGTTCTCTTTGCCATCGCGTTTCTTGCGGTTTACGTGACGTACACACCCCGATATCTGTACGCGTGCGTTTTAAAAAAAACGAGTATTTATTAAAATGCGAATTTATGGGAGCGAATACGTTCGCGCGTATTTACACGCAGTTGCGCGCGCGGAATAAAATTATACGAGGAATGTTTTTGAGATGAGAAACATTTCGCGAATCATCTACATATATATAACGAAAAACGCGTTCTTTATAATGTTACGTGCTTAAAAATAATATGACTGAAATTTAGGATAAATTTATTTATAATATTTACAGCCTTTTAATACACGCTATAAATATTATAAATATCCGGGAAGAAATCTTTTATACGTAAAAATATAACCACGTGTGTTGTTTCTCTTGTACAATCCCTGTTTGTATATATAAGAAAAATAATTTTAAAAAAGAATTAAAAATACCTGGAAGAATGAAGGCAGTAAGAGCCGACGCAGAATGTTAGATGCGGAATACAAAAGTTTAATGTATAATATAATAACGCTCATAATGGTCAAACCTTTCGAGCAACTAACGTGATCCTTTTCAATGACACATAAAGCAATTAAAGAATAAATTTCATATTTCCTTTTTACAAAAATATCAAGTTTGAAGAAAAGAGAAAAAATTGTCTCTATAGAATTATATACGTAATGAAATATGATTGTGTAAAGAATATTGTATGATTTTCGAGGGGTAAACCGATGAAACTGAAATCACATACACCAATGCCCACTAATGCCCAGTGGGCATTACTTAATCTTATTATCTTATTTTATCTTTATAATGTCCCAGCAAGGCCTAATGCCCAGTAATGCCGCAAATCTGTGCACCACAATGCCCTCGGTATTTATAAAAAAAATAATTTTAGAAAATAACTAAAAGAATAAAGGAAGGCAGTAAACCCCATAAGTTTGTTGCAATTGTGCCTTTGTAAGAAGCGAAATTATTTTGCAGAAGTTATGTTTCTAATTCTTTTTTAATCTTTCTTCTTATTATTGTTCTTTTATATATATATAATATAATATTATATATATATAAACAGAAATTGTCAAAGAAGAGAAAGGAAACATATATAGAAATTAAACTTTCCGTCGCGCGTTTGCACAAACCTTAAAATAATATAAAAACCGACAGAAGCTTCCTCCGATAAAATTTAAAACAAGTGAAAGAAAGTTTTTTTTATGTATAAACATAAAAAACTTTCTTTCGCTTGTTTTAAATTTTATCGGGGAAAGCCTCTGTCGGTTTTTATATTATTTTTAAGGTTTGTGCAAACGCGCAACGGAGAGTTTAATTTCGAATTTAAATTATATAAAGATTATTATTATTAAAGTTATACAAATTTAATTTCTGCGGCAAAAGATAGCCACTCGATATTATACAATGTATAATGTGTAACGTAACTTCACAGAGTTACAGTTACCAGTTCTCGCGTTTAGCTCGTACGATAAATCGAGAGCTGAAATGCAAATGAAAATTACATTCGACTAACAATCTTGATACGATCATTCAGTTACAAGCGATTTATTAATATTCCATACGCTCTCGCAACTTTTTTTAAATAATAGTTTGTGTATTTTTACGACACAAGTTTTATCATGTTCGACGAATTAAATTGGTTTTTATAAACGCGACTGTAAAGTTTCATGTAATAACGCCTGAAGTGTTTCAGTATATATCCTTTACCGTTAATAAATAACTTCTTGAATAAAACTTGTTGTTTTTTCGCAAAAGTAATGTAAAGGTTATGATTTCCCGTCGTTATATGAATTCGCCATCGCGTTTACATTGTCGGACAAATCTGATTTATAACAGCAAGAGTGATGCACGTCTATAAACTGTCGCGTCATATAATGAAAGCACTTCTTCATCATAATTCCGTACTGTCAAAAGATCGCTGCTGTCACAAGAAATACAATATTTATATAAATTGCAAACATATTGTATTTCGCGCAGCACGTTCTCGATTCCCTGTCACATTGATTTACAATTATTACAAAAATTATAGCTTCACGAGTTAGAAGGTGATAAATAATTTTTCCTCGACTGTCGCACAAATTCAAGACCTGTGCAACCACGTTGTTTGCCCGCGCAATACACTTTTATTGCTAACATTCGCGGAAAGTCGGGCAGTTGCATATCTTCGCACGTTAAAATATGTAATTCCAATTTAAGTTAACACGCGTTTTACCAACATTTGAATAATTATATGGATTAACATTTCATGTTCAACGACGCGCGTTTAAGTAACTCGTTTAAATAATTATGCGTGCGTGACAAAAATCCAAACAAAATAACGCGAGCCGTAATTTCCATACCATTAATTGAAGCCGAACGAAATTACGATGAAATTCATGAAAAACGATATTCACTTGTTGCAGCGATTTTCAGTCAGACATTCTCGGATTTAATCAAACGCGCGGTGCGTTTCAATATGCGTCGACGACAATGCATCCTTCACGATGAGCAACTATTTGCGTAAAGCCCGTATCAGACTACGGGTTCAGATTGAGAGTAGATCGAAATTTGATGACCAACCGGAGTAAAATTCATAAACTTGAGATCAGTAAGCCACGCTCTGATTGGTCAAATCTCAATCTAATCTCAATCTCAATCCGTAGCCTGATACGGGCTTAAGGTAGTTATTTCGTAAAATCACTTGTGTGAGAATTGCTTCAAATTTTTACAGTTTATTACATCAATACGTGCAAAATAAGACTAACTGAATTAAAAAAAATGACCGTCTCAAAGTTCTAAAAAAAAAAAACATGTTAAAGTTTGCTATGTTACACGAAACATTACGTGTAAAACGCGTTAGAAATATTTTTACTACACGTGAAATATTATTTACACATATTATTATGCGCTAAAATATTAATATTTGCATTCGCAAACGCAAACGGTGGTACATGAGCTTCGTATGAGAAACAAGTATGTTATAAAGTAAAATAGAGCAAATAGCCGGAAAGAAAATCCAAACTATTGGCCGTTCCGTTTCAACAATATAAACAATTTAAAACTGAAAAGTGGCAAGAATTATGCAGTGGACACGAGTGTAGAGTAAGAGATGGGGCAACAGCGCCCCGAACTATAATCTTTAGGCTTGTTTTCTGTTCCTACACTAGTGAACTAGTGCAATAAATTGGAGTAAGACAAGCATATTTTTTCTCATTCTAGCTTACTGCACTAGTTCACCAGTGCAGGAACAGAAAACAAACCCTTTGTAACAATTGAGTGCTGGTTCCTGTCTGGGAGAGAACTTTTGAGCGTCACCGTCGCGAAACAACTACCTTAAGTGGTATATGTGTACAAAATTCTGATCAATCTTAACCCGAAAGGTAACCAGGCCTCGTCCTTCAACTATGGAATTTTCGGTAGTGTCCAATCGCAACCCTCAAAGTTCCTTAAGAAATGATCATCGCCCGACAGTTTCAAATCTCGATCCTGCGTGCGAACCACCGCTGCAATCGCGAACGCAACTTTGGCGCGAGGCTCCAATTAGTTGACGCGGGAGAAGAGAAAAAAATTACCTTCCTCCTCCATGCTCGCGGGCGAGATTTCCTCGGGCTTGGCCTCAATCCAAATTGGTTTCCCCCGAGTCGGGTATCATCGGCGGCGCTTTTCTCGCGCACTTCACCTTCGCCGCGACATGCCTGTCCGTCGCGCGTCGCGCTACGTTTCCAAATCTCCCGAAACTTACCACCCAAGAGCGCGACTCGATTTCGCGCGACTCGCCCCTGCGCACATCGAATCCGGCGGCGGATCGCGGGCGAATCCAATACGCGCGTGTAAATATTTACCCCCCTCCCCCCGCCCCTCCACTCACTGCGCGATGCCGAATCCAATTAAATTTTAAACACGCCAATTTTCGCGCTCGCCAGGTGCGCGGCTCCGTTCGACGGCGTCATTGTCAATCGTTTCTTCGTCCCCCGGTCTTGCCACCCCCGCCCCTTTCTACTCTTTCTTCCCTCGGGAGAGGAGGCGGCGAAGAGACGACGCTCGCGCCGGCGAGAGATTACATTTCCCCCAAAGTTAAGCTCCCGACACACTGGCGAGTTGATCGCGAGTCAATTCCCGGGGCGGCTCTACTTAAAATATGCGAGCGAGGGCTTAGTTTAATGCGCGCGTAATTATCTCTGGGAAAGAAAGTGACTCTGGCTCGGGGCCTCTCTCCGACTCGAGATCTCCGGCGGGCTCTCCGTCCGACCGCTTCCGCAGCCGCGAAGCTTGCAACTGGTGGCTGGATTCCCACGTCGGGACCGCCGAGATGCTTCCCCTACAATCCCTTCGCGCTAACTCCGTTGTAAGCTGCGCGAAAGCTCGTCACTCGTGACGCTTTAATCCAGGCGCGATCACCGAGACAGGCTACTCGCAGGCCTCGAGGCTGCCCTCGGCTGCGCGATCCCCTTTTCCCCCATTTATCGCCAGACGCGAAAATTGATTTGAAATTCATTAACGCGAGACGCCCGATCGCATCGCGAGAGAAGCTGATAAGATTTTAATCACTTTTCGTCACGTAATTATATATTTCATTATGTACTCGTGGTCGCGATCGCGTACGGTATACCTAATATTTAAATGGAATCCTTATATAAAAAGAACCGATTCTCGTTGTAGCGTTTTGGAATTTTAATCACTTCTCGCCACGTAATTATATTTCATTGTATGCTGCGCTCGTAGTTGCAATCGCGAACGGTACGGCTATAATAAATATTGAAATGAGATCTTTAGATAAAAAGAATTGCAATTGATTGTAGCTTGTTGAAATAATCTTTGTCAATCACACTCGGGTTTATTTAAAATTACCGCGGAAAGTAATGAGTTTTAATTTTCTTCTTTTTATCGCGGACCAGATAAATAATTTATTACCTTACAATATAACGTTATATAACGTTAACATTGCACACAACTTGGTTTTTATGACTTCACTGAAATTATAGATTGTATTTTTTTTATCTTTCGTTGTGTTCGCTGCGTTTCACACGTACAGATGGCTTTTCCTCTCCATCAGTTACATTGTTGCGAGCTTGCGTAAGTGCCTGACCGTAGCCGACGAAGTTCTAATTAATTTTCTCGGCCAATTAATTAAAAATTAATTTATTGGCCTTAAATAAATACACGTCGCTCGTTCGCTGCAAATGACATAATTTAAAAAAAACAAAGTTTTCCAGAAAATAAATTTGAGTGCATTTTGCATAATATTTTGTAATATCATTTTGAAATGCGATTTTCTGATTATGGAAGAACAAAAGTACCTTGTTATCTATCAGTTCTTCATTTATATTACACGCGTATTAGTATATCGACTTCTCACCATTCTTTTGCAAACAACTAAAAAAATGACATATGTGTATGTACGAATAAAGGTGTATCTACATGTAAAGTATCCCCTTTCTTTACATGTAAATTGTAAGAAATATATTTGTTCCGGTAATTATAAATTAGAAAGTGACACATTATACAAAAGAGTACGGGAATATTTTTGATAAAACTCTTTTTAATAAATGATAGGTAAGTGAGTAAAAATGAGATTAATAGATAATTCCGTTTATAATAAAACACAAACGGATTATTCATTCAATATCAATATTATATTATCACTTTCCTCATTGCAGTATTGCATATGCAGTCTTGCTACAGAGTAATTTCTTGCAGATATATTAGATAATGGTGTTTAATCACATGAAACTTACGTATGAAGAAAACCAAGAAAACTGAAATAAAAATCTTCTAGTGTTGAAATTTCTCTCATACGTTTTTCTTGCGTAGACAAAAAGTCTATATCAGCGTTACGACGCTGAGATTTTTATTCAACAAAGTGAGAACAGATTTTTAAAATAAAACAAACACTCTTTTAGAAACGAGTCAGACAAGTGTTTATTTTATTCTCAATACTTCAGCTGTATGCATCTGTTTAACAGATCATTTATATATGCGTGGTTATACATATAAAATATAAATCCTTAAAGAAACTCCATTTCCCGCTCGATACCGACAAATTTAAGTTGTTCCGTTGGTCCATATCTAAAAATTGTCATAATTTATGCAATTTCAATCGTGGGATTGTGATGAATCAACTTAATATCATCGGGGACATACCTGTAGTCGAAAAACAATTCTTCGCCAGGTTGGATTGCTCTTTTGGCGAAGATACCTATTCTGTGGTCACCGTTTACCATCATTACTTTCGCATAACAATTGGGATTTATCGAATGATTGGCGAATCTTATTTTATTCCCCTTTCTTGTCGCGTCAACAACAAAATCTAGAAAACACCTTTTAAACCATCTTCTTCCCGACCAGTTGCCACGTTTGCCCGCACGTACGTTGTACTTACCGTTGTTGAGGTTGAAGAGAAAACTGCACATATACTTATCGTATACCTTTCCTCTCCTATCGGCTTCATCTTGACTGATAATTTCGCCGCAATACTCTGAGATAAATTCATTTTTCGCGGCTGATTCTTTCAGGAAAATCCCCCAACCTGCTACATCTGATGGTGCCATCAGGAGATGCTTATCTGCAAATAACATTTTCTTATCTTTCGTACATCCTCGTTGTTTCTGATAAAATAAACAACACTCAAAGTTATTCGTTCTTACGAAGACCACGTTGTACGCTGACATTCTTGCAGGATATCTTAGTGATATGGAACTGATCAGCGCCACACGTTTGACAAAGATCCGGGTCACATTCCCTCACGGCCAAGTAACACGGGCATTGTTTCGTGTTGCACTGAGCTTTACATCTACAACCGGGAAATCGATTCTGGCACTCGCTGCTACACTGGCAGAATTTCTCGCAAAAGTTCTGCGCCTGGATGCAGGGACACGAGTTGTCGCACTGACGACCCGGATGGTCGCAAGGCGCGAAATTATGCACGTGATTAGCACCTGTTGAAAGCAATTAATTAGGAATCGCAAGAGGCACGAGCTTGACTTTTGAAATATAAGATTATAGAGTAAGGCTCCAATGAAACAACATTAAAGTTAGTCTTCCGATTGAGTCGATGTTAAACCTTAAATATTTGAAGACAATAGGGGCAATGTGTCACCAGAACTTCGGTGAAAAAAAAAAATTGTATATAATTGCAAGGTAAATTGTAACATATTTTTTACAAGATATTCGGTAACAGATTGTTACGTGGAAACGATTTGGTCAGCGCACGTGACCCTCTTCAGTCCTACATTTGATTCCGTTGTAAACAAAAGGTTAACGTATGGTAGAAACGCGATGAGTAATTTGGAAATTTTCTATGTCTATGTGACAGGCCGGTTTGCGAGGGCACCACATACTTTATTCGTTATCCTGAAGATTTGTCTGAATGTGTGGTTAGATATCTGTTCGGTCGCCGTCATGTCCCTCACCATAGTTCATGTTAGTGGTGAGACACTTTGTATGGTGTCGGAAGGGCTAGTCCGTGTGACTGAATTGTAATAAATAAGAATGTATGTCAACTTTTGAGATAAATTAACGAACGTACCGGAGTCTTTTTTCAGTTGTATCTTCCTGCAATGCATGGACCATAATCGGTGCTTCTTCTTCTTCTTTCGCGGCGGTGTGAAGTCTTTCAGGTTCTCTATAGCGGGAATGTCCGAAGCCTCTTTCTGCGCGAACTCGTACACCTCTTGGCAGGTTTTCGTCAACATGATTTGCGCCAGCGCGCACGGATTGCCAGGGAAGGCTTTGTGAAGTGCTCGGAATAAGCTCTGTTCCGAGCCTGTCCATGAAAATTCGCTTTCCGTCTTAAGTCGTTTGCCAATTCCTAATAGCGTGAAGGGTGTCTGATTCTCAGGCTGCGCCTGGTCCTCCATTATTTCCTCGGGCTTGCAGTTTTTGTTAACGTTTTGCTTAAAGTCTAATTTGAATGAAAGTCTTAGAATTTCATCGACACATATACGTGTAATCTCACGGCAAATTGTATATTAACCTTGACAACTGCCTCCTTGTCCGTACTTATTGCTATCGTTGCTGTCCTCGCTGCTTGCTTCGTTTCCAGAATCGACGCTCGCTTGTTTTCGCACCTTCCTAGGGCCACCGCGTTTCTCGTCGCCTTCTTCCTCTTTTGTGTCCGCTGCCTGTGCTGCCAGCTTCTCCTTCATCCCCTCCTAACGTTAAAAATTACGTTAGCGACGAATGTATACTCTGAGAAACAGGCGTTCTGTTGCAGCGCGGCACAATACCAAATGTGGTAGCGTACCAAATGCATGTAACATTCCGCTCCACACGGCTCCGAAAACGGTTTCAAATCGGGTCCTTTCCGCTTCAGCAAATTCGGACCTGGATGGCAAACTTGAAGACCTACAAGCAACATGAATAAACTCACTATGAATGTACTCTCGCGCCGGCTGATTCGGCATAGTTGAATGGAGAGAAAATTAGTAGACACAGCGATGAACGATGAATGAAATATGATTGCGGATGAGCCCTTGACGATGCCTCTGTGCTAAACAAAAAAAAGCTCCCGGTCGATAATGCATTAGTTTGTAATTTGTTCTTTACCTTGCGGCGAGGTCCCCCTGGCTGCTACGATAAATCAGGAATCACAAATTATTGTAATTAATAAACTTTCAATTTCGAACGCTTAAATTATTATACAACACTTCAGTAAGTTGCATTTCGGCGAAATATTTCTCTCGTGTGCGCTCATCAATTTTACTTCATCTCTAAAAATACTATTGAGTGAATAGATAACAAGTACATTAATGACACCGCCCTTTGTGATTAATACTTCACAAAATACAACTTAAACAATTAAGAAGATCGCTTCATTGCGGTATACTCACGATGTAAGAAGCAGTCGTACTTGAAGCATCTCCTGCAGAACAGAGTATGGAAAGAATGCATCGTCTGTTCCCTAGGTACGCTCCTTGCATTTATACCGTCTATGTTAGGCGTGCATTCCGGCGGTAAAACGTTTGGGTCAGATCTCTCTGTCAGTTCGATATATTTCTCCTTCAACTCTTCCGGTCTGCCTTTATCGGGGAACATGCTCGATATCGCCTGGAAATGGTAAGTGTACAGAGCAACGCTGCAACATCGGATTATACTTAATATCGTATTGCCGTGTTGAATGCCCTTACATTGAATATATGCATTGACGGAAACGGAGCTGCCTTCCCACCGTCAGTTTTCTCCGTCTTGTTCTCGGACTTCTCGACGTCCTTCTTCTCGTTTTCCTTTTGATTCTCTTTCTCTTTCAACGACTCTTTCCCTTTCCTCGTCTGCTCCCGGTCCTTGTCGTCTCTCTCGTAATTCAGCAGAGCGTTCACCAAATCAACGAAGATAGAATCGTCCATGAAACCAGACTCCCTGTCGCCGTGGACCTACCGACAAATAGAGATTAGCGACAGCGCAGTTCACCGCGCGATCACTAGCGAAAGGTTGGAGCTAGCCGCCTTAACCCGTACCTTTCCGTCATAATTCTTTATGAGCTCCTCGATAAAAGTGCCGTCCTGATCCAAGATCTCGTCGCCCATGTAAGGAATGTTGTGCAAAACGGTCTCGTCCTCCACCATAAAGTTCTGCTGAATGGGGGCCCACGTGTACATGGTTGGTATAGGCGTTACCGCGTTAACGATTTTCACGGGACAACTTTGCACGTCGCCGTCGGGACTGGTAATCTCTGCCTTCTTCATGCAGGAAACATGCGGCGGGACGTCTTGCATCGCCAGCCACATTGCCTTCCCGTCCGTCCAGCGCTTTTGTTCCGCCATAAGAAGATCTGTTCAACAGACAATCCCAAATATTGTAGTACAGGAAGGTACGCCGACACCGGCGAGCAGCTATCGTCGCTTTAACAAGCTCTGCAAGTGTGACCGATGACTAGAGGTGTGACATTTTCACATTATCTTTCGACATCTTTGGCGTCGTTTAGATGTTATTTGACATATTCGCTATTTGTCAATGAGTTTTTCCACTTCTTCCACACTGGAGAATCCCTTGTGTCCACGAGGCTAGAACTTGGACACAAGGCCTCAGACAATGTTTTGCGTTTCAAGTCTCAAACCAGGTCTACAATGTGTTGTTGGTCGTAAGTCAGGGACGATCGTGCATCTTTTCCTCCAGCGCGAGCTAAGTGCGCTATTCTTTCCAACTAATAAAGTTGTATCTCGCAGTGATTGAATTTTATCTATAATCACCAACTTTTAGCAATGGCAACACTTAGCCTTTTAGCTACTTTCAAAGCAGCTACTGCAATTTAGCTGATATTACCAAGTCATTTCTTTGCATGAAGCCTCGTGTCCACGATCCAAGAACTGTGTCCAAGTTCTAGCTCCAAGAAGTGCGTGGCCAATCAACTTGCGGCTTTTCCACAAAAGATACAGGTTGATTGGTTGCACGTCTCTTGGAACTAGAACCTGGACGCAGTTCTTGAGTCACGGACACAAGCCTTAACAAGTGATCGTAGACCAGGCTTTAAAGTGAAGCGCAACAACCGTCTTGCGTCTTGGGAGCACAAGACGGCCATTCTGCCCAGGTCCTAGGTTCCGTCTCCTACTTCTGTTAATTTGTACTTTCGAGCGCGAAGGAAAAGCTAACGCGTCTGTCCTCGTAGGAGGCACCGCCGACTTACCCGTCATAACCTTGCGATTCTGGTTCCACGCGATCTTGACCTCGTCCGCGCGCTTGTACCGTTTCATCTGCCGCAGCCGCATGTACTCCGATTTCACCCTCTTCCTCCACTCCGCGGAGACTTTGGCCTTCGACATAGTAACGTAAATACACAGTTCGTCCTCAGTTGCGCGTCAAACAGCACAAAATTGCCGAGGGGCGCGAGGGACTTAGAACAACCTTCGAGCAGGAGCCCCGGCGTCTCCGGCGACCAAAGTTACGGAGGGTCTGCGCATTTTCTCGAGAGGTAGAAAAGCAGAGCCCCAAGACGCGGAGAGAGAGAGAGAGAGGAGAAAACAGAGCGCGTTCACGGTACTTTGAGGTTACCGGAGGTAACGCAATGGCGGTTCGCCTCGTACGCTCGCAGGTTGCCGCGCGCGTATTCACGGGGGAAACCTCGGGGCCGATTGCTCCAACGTCTCGACGAGCCTCACGCCCGACGGATACGCGTCTATCGCGGTACTTGGGAAAAATGTGCGACAACGCACAAACGCACAGCGTAGGGCGCCGTAGACTTTCACTCTCGATCACTCGATTATCGACTCGCGCGGATATCGATAGTCGCTCCGCGCTCGTCCGTCGAAGCGCGTCACGTCCGTCGCACGCCCCCCCCCCCCCTGCTCCTTCTTTATTCAATGAGTTGGGACGAGATAGGTTATGTCAAATTGTATCCTCCGATGTGCGAGCGTACGACGCACGAGCGCGGCTGAATTGCGTATTCGTATGTTCCTGCCGACCACCCGCGAGGTGTATCGTCCTGTCGCGAGTCCTTTTTCTTTTCTTCAAGTCTCGAGACGCCTTCGTTTCCCGAAACGGCGGGAGCGCAAGTGGATCTGGAGAAAGCCGTCGATCGAAACGTCGATTGTCTCGCGAGAGTGTCGGGTGTGTGTGTGTGTGTTTTTTTTTCCTTGTTTTACTTGACACACATCGAGGTGACTGTCGAAAGACCCCCGACGTCTTATGGAAGCTCGCCCGACCGCCGAGATTTGGATGGTCAGTTCAGGATGTTAATCTCGAATTTACCGTTCCGACGCTTCCCAGTTTACGTGCGTGACTGGGAAACGTCAGAGTAGAGCAATACATGCGTGTCATATGTGTACATGTAAAACGATAATATTCAAGTTTTATTTGCAGCTGCTTCCTGCCAATTGACCGCATTTGAATGCGCCTTATCTCCCGTTAGCTAACTCTCGTTGCTCTCACGTTGTCGAGAGACTGAACGGATTAGTAATTGAATCGGTCTAGTGGTACAAAATGTACAATGCCGCGTGTAATACCCGTATTGTGCCGATATGTGCCATAATCTAGAGGGGAGACTGGCTACGCTAATGATAAGATTGTATGGAAGAAGGTGGAGTGTCGTAGCAGCAAATGTAGCAGCATTGTGTTGTAAACCGAAACAACACGTATGTCTAAAGCCCGTGCCAGACTACGGATTGAGATTGAGATTAGATTGAAATTTTACTAAGGGCCAGTTTCACAAACGTCGGTTAACTGCTAACCGAAGGTTAACTGATCCTCTGTCTCTTCTTAGAGAACAAGATAGAAAAAGATAGGGCGTTGACTGAACTCTGGTTAACAGTTAACCAACGTTTGTGAAACTGGCCCTAATTAGAGTAAAAGTTACTGAACTTGAGATTAGTAAACTTTACTGCGATTGGTCAAATTTCAATCCAATCTCAATCCGTAGTCTGATACGGCCTTAAGTATCAGATTACAGACTCCCGACTCTGATTCGACCACTGACTCAGACTCCTGACTATGATTCAACCAATTAGAGTGGCGCCTAGTCCCGAGTCGGCAGTCAGGGTCGGTCGGTGCTTTGCTGTGATTGGTTCAATCGTAGTCGGGAGTCCAAGTAGTCTGATACTGTAGTCTGATACGGGCTTAATGCCTAATCTGCAATGAGCTCTTTGCGCCTAGAAACATCTGGTTTTATACGAGGGTGAAAACCGCTAAATCTTGTACACTAATGCCCAGTGGACATTACTTATCTTATTATCTTATTTATCTTGTTTAATCTTATTTTATCTTCATAATAGCCCAGCAAGGTCTAATGCCGTAAATCTGTACGCCACAATGCCCTCAGCGGTTTCCTCCTCGGTTTTCTATAAGCAAATCAAAGCGCTTTAAAAAATTCGCCGACGACGTACGATTGTGCAATGTATAATATACAATGTATCAACTTGCACAAATGTTTTAAGCATAATATAAGTAACAATGGCTCGTATGATAAAATCGAAGAATAATAGAAGAGGCTCGGAGCCTGAACAAGCTTGTAATGTCCGATAAAATTACTTCATTTTAATAGTAAATGTATATATATACGTTTCGGTCCTCATTGGACCACCTTCAGTGTAACGAAAAAATAATAAACGCAATCAAATACATTACTACCTTGTTCAGGCTCTGAGTCCCTTCTGTTAATCTTTGTTTTAAACATATTTATTGGCTGACAAAATAGAACGTTTCTAGACGCAGGGGGCACATTGTAGATTGAGCTTAAAAGACGTCTTTAAGACATCTTTTAGGTATGCATGTCTTTGAGACATGCGTATTGCATGGGAAAATACGTGCCTATTTTTCAGACACCCGTGTAATGATAAAAAAATCATTAAGTTAATTATTCGGATTCTCTTATCGAGAGTCTAGTCATTAAAATGAATTCCCCACAATTGTCTACAATTATCCCGGGTCTATCAGCCCCCCCCCCCGCTCGACAATCACGAAAATTCACTGACAATTGACGATTTTTGACAGTACCTCGTCGGCGCTCGCAGGAAGAAAGAAACGAATGTCGTTGGGCCGCACACGTGCATATCTCGCCGAGTGAAGTACTTCAAGGAAGTAACGAGGCGAAATATATTTTGGTAAGAAATTACGAACAATAGCGTACTACATTTAAGGATACACTTATGTTTTTTTTACTTTGTGAAATATTTTTAATTTCCACCAAAAACAAAATTAAAATAGAGTTTGCTTCGATTTTACGAAAATAGTAAATAAATATTTGATACGTTATTGATAATTGAATAGATCTGTTCCAGTGTACATACATGCACATATAGCTCTTCCCATTACGAGAATATGCTTTTCTGTTGTTGACAAAAAATTTCATTATTTTCACGTTGTGGAAAACACCACGAATGACTTGAATTGAATCATTCTAAGGCCCGTATCAGAGCAGGGATTGAGATTGATATTGGATTGAAGTTTAACCAATCGGAGTAAACTTTGCTAATATCGATTTTAAGGAATTTTACTCTGATCGGTCAAATCACAATCTAATCTCAATCCCAATCCGTAGTCTAATGCAGGCTTAATGGTAAAAATCTATTTGTAATACCTGTATTGTGCTAATATATGCCATAATCGGGAGGAGAGACTGATTCTACGACTCTTGAAATAAGTCGAAATAATAAATTGTTTAAAATTACGTCACACTTTCGAGGAAAATGACTTTGAATTGTATCACTTATTGTCAGATTTAATTTTGATTTGAAACAAGACGCGTCTAGATTACCCGACAAATTTGTAAAACGGTGAAAATTATTTTTTTTTACTTACAGGAAATCAATGCGATTCGCGTAAATGGGAACAATATTATTTTAGGGCACAAAATATGATTTGGAACGCTTCAAATTCTGAGAATAAATATAATTCGCAGCTGATCTCGGAATAATATCATTAATTTGCCATGTATGTCGACGCCGATTACCCATGAGATTAGAGTGCGCGATCTAATTTTGCTATCAAGTCGATATTGCGCAACGTATCTGATGAACACAGGCGCTTCCTCGAAACGTTCGCCGATTGGTGAAAATAGAGTGACATAGAAGTGGCGCGGTCATAATATAGGAGCGCGTCAAATTTTCAGACTGTATTCCACGAAGTAGACGTCACCGCTGTGCAGTGCCGTCGTTATCGTCTGCCGTACCGATCCTTGCCAAAAATGTTTTTCTACGAACTCCTATTTCGATACACAGAGCCGAGGTCTACCAACGGTGTAGAACTCGTGCATTATGTCGAACGACTGAAGATACATTTTCATTTACCGGTCAATTCGTAAGAACATTATATATACATATCCGAAATGTCTACAGTTTTCAGATATTTTAACTTTGTATATAGGACGATAAAAAATTGATTTACGGTAAAAAAGTATATAGTTTCATGAAAAAGAAATTGAGTGAACTTTTAAATTGACATACCTTTGCCGTGCCTGCAAAGATATATATATTTAACAAATCAATAGAATTCACGAGGCTCTTATGTGGCAAACACCAATTCGAAGGAATAAATCTTTGCAATAAATTTAAAAATAAGCAATATTTGGACACTAACATCCTGTCACGGCTCTTTAATCTTTATTCCATTAAATTGATAATTATATTTATTATAATGGTTCCTGTATAAATCACAATACTTGACTAATTTCACTTATTTTACATTTGCTTTTAAACAGTTGTTTTTCAATAGAATTTTCAATGGTTCTTTTTATAAACGTTAAACTCTATTATAAATGTTTTTTTAATATTAGCTGCGTATTTAGCATAATTTTTCTTTTAAAGTTTTTTAAAGAATAATTTTATTGTAAAATGTAAAAAACACATGACGAACTGGAACATGCATATATCTGTAAAAATATACGTACATGTTGTAAAATTATAAACGGAGGCCTGAAATCAGATACAAATTAGGTATCGTTTATAAGATTGATTAACAAAAAACCTACGTATGCGGGCAAAATTTGACATCAAATTATATTACCGAGAACTAAGATAACAATCGACCCGACCTCACAGATTTCCTCCTTTTACCGATCTTTGGTTGGAAGTAAAAATAGATACATACGGCATACAGAACTTCCTTTTTAATGTATGTTTTAAGCAAAGATTATCGCAAAATATTTTCGCGACAAACTCCACCCACAACATCTCCTGAATATGTACACAAATAATCAATTTAATAATTTTCTTTCAGACCAGAGTGCTATGTTGATTGCGGCGATTCAGTTGCGAGTACACATACATGATGCTGAGAATGGTATGTCCAAAATGCCATCATCGCTTTCCAGTATTGGGATGCTGTTTAAAGTGGAGCGATGAAACTAGCCAAAAGAAGATAGAAGAGGAGGAGGAGGCGAAAAGGAAAGATGAAGAAGACGAAGGAAGGGAGGAGGAAGAGGAGGAGGAGGAGGAGGAACAAGAGGAAGAGGAGGAAGTAGTGGATGACGAGGAAGAGGAGGATGTACAGCGGGAGGAAGAGAAGGAAGAGAAAAGGGAAAAGCAGAAGAAGGCTGCTAATACCATCTGTTCAGCGACAACCTATTATGTTAGTAGTCTGCCAGTGTCGCGTGGCTACACCAGTGGCAGCAGTTGCTTCATAAAGCCATCCACAAATATTCACGAGCGTACCATTTTCCAGTCATGCGCGGTCGACTACGGCCCCGATGTAGAAATTGCCGGTCCCGATACGATGGAACTCTTTTGTGACATACAGACCTCGTCCGTGAAACAAGCCCACCGTCCGCTATTAAGAGCGCCAGTATATCAATCGAACGACCGGGATCCCTTCATTGTGGTAACGGAGAATCTTAACTATGATATGGCACCTGCGGAACAATATGTCGCGGCTACGTGCGAACTGACTGGCGGCAACGTCACGGTCGCCACGCCCGATATACAATCGGGCGGTTGCCTTATGGAAAATACGGAAGCGGATATTCTGGTGCAAGCCTCGCAGATCAAAATTCAGCCGAAGCTTACCGGCGGCGGCTGCCTGGTGCAGAAGAAATCGTCCGCTGAAAACGCGCGGTCGACGACATCCAGGCACACGAGAAACTTCGCGGTCGTCAATAATAAGGCGTTTCCTGGGAACATAAGGCTGTCGTCTAGGATGATAAGGGACGGTGAGAATAACGAAATAGCGAGCGTTGGCTCGCGGCAGCAAAAGGTACCGATGAACAAAACGAGCGACCGCTGCGATTGCAAAAGTACGTTTCAGCAGAACCGCTGTCAGAATCACAGGCGGCTGCTCGACGCGTCACTCGCGGACAATCGTGACGCGTTGCCGATGGATCCTATCGGCAATAGCGTGCAATTCCAAGTGAACGCCACTGTGCAGCTGCCCGCGAACCTGGGTCAGTGCACGGTGAACATTACGGCGACAACGACGACGCCGCCGAAGCAGGGCATGGCGATGAAGTTGCCGGATCGTGGTAGAAATAACTTTCACGGTGGTGGCATCGTGCAACCGAACGAATTAGATTGCGCGACGGTGAATCAAATTGTTGCGATCGGCAACAGCAAGGATTGCAGTAGCGTCGAGCAAACAGAGGACGCGTCGACCATCCCGGGGTCCTGGCTGATGCCGACTTCTTGGAGCCTGGATTCAAATGACAATAGACTGCGCGAGGTGAAAAGAATGCTGCAGATTTGTGGCTGGTACCACGAGGGCATCAGTTGGCAGCAGAGCGAGAACCTTCTGAAGGACGCGTCCATCGGTCGGTGGCTGATGAGAGACAGCTCGGACATCAGGTACACCTTCACGGTATCGGTGAAAACGTCCCGAGGCCCCGCTTCCATCAGGGTGCACTACTTCCTCGAGCAATTTCGGTTAGACGCCGAGCCGAAATTGGCGCTGGCGATGCCGTTCTTCGATTGCCCTATCAAAATGCTGGAGCACTACGTCGAGTATTCCAAGAGAATGGACGAGCATCGTAGGGAAGTGTGGGTCGACTACAGTGGACAGCTGTACAGCCAGATCTATTTGACCAAGCCTCTTGTTAAGGAAGTTAGATCACTGTCGCATCTGGCCAGACTCGCTGTGAATCGAAGCAAGTTGCCTACCGAACATTTACCACTCCTGATTAAAAATTATATCGAGGAATATCCGTATACGCTTTGACTGTGTAATCACATCTCACGGTGCGTTTATCTTCCGATATAAATATATATATACACATTACATGTATGTACATATACATGTATGTATGCATATATGTATGCATGTGTATATACGTATATGCAAAAATTTATTTTTATATACTGTAGTACGGATTTCTCCGGTGGCTTATTTTTCGATAATAAACCGATTATGCCTTCAATTGTACTAATTACAGACATTGCGCAAAAAGGAATTGTGATTTGTGTATGTAATTGTACAAAGAAATGTACACACGAATCTATGCGCGCGCGCGCGCATATGTGTGTGTGTGTGTGTGTAATAATGTGTACATATGCGTGTATAATAAAAATAAATCTTATAACAATAGAATTTATTTATGTCTATCTGTATAGTAAATAAATTCTATTGGAATCATTACTTATATTATTATCACGCATATTTAGTTTAAATAATTTAAATATAATAAAATTTAAAATTTCACTAATGTTTTATTCTTTGAGATGAAATATTTGGTGCATAATGAGCCATGAAATATGCCTATTTATATTTGTGCAATACGTTGCAATACTGTACGTTTACGTAAATATTTTAAATATGAACTGATCTCGCTGTTATAAAAATATAAATTGAGCGATTCTTTTTTTTTAAATTTTGATTTCTTTACCGTTATGCGCAAAAAGATTGAACCATCATATTTGTATTCCAAAACGTTACATTTGTATTACAAAATTTGCACCAAATGTGTAACAAATATATAATTGATTAAAAACACATTCAATTCTTTATGGTAGGCATTAATGTCTTTGAAAATTCCGCCGAATTCGTTAAAGATAAATTTTTAATATCTGCAATACTTTGAGCCGATGAACAAACAGAAAGACAACGATGCAATCTTTTGAAGTAGATTTTAAATAGAAAAACGTCAAAACTGTAAAACACATAATACCGTAACGTTAGCAAAAACAAACAGATTCAACGTGTCATGTTAAAGGCAGTCGACGCGACGTAATACAATTTTATTTTGATCGTCAATCACATCGGATCATATTGCTGCAGTGATTAAATTAATATGAGATGTCAGTGCCGTGTCATAGTTTTCTGATCTCGAGTTTAGTAAACTTTACCGTGATTGGTCAAATTTCAATCTAATCTCAATCTGTAGTCTGACACGGGCTATCCCATATTAGGATCCTATCTCATAATAGGGGACTTTCCTCAATGCATTCGCTGCTTGCATTTGCTGTTCGTCGATTTGTTTACTGCTCGGCTTTCTCGGCCTTTTACGATTAATTCGAAAGGGAGCTCGCTCGCGCAAATGTAGAAGATTACAGACCGTTTTCTTTTTTTGAGCTACACCGCCAATAAATGTTAATATCATTCGAGGGATTCGAATGTCGCCCGCGTCGCGACGCGTTAGACATCAGAGACACTCTGAAGCCCGCCCTTATCGATAATCACGATGCACCGGGTGTGTCTCGTGCACGCGGATCGCTCATTAAATCCGAAAAGAATTATGCCGCGACTCGCGTCGCCGGCCGCGCGCGCCCCAAGTTTTCCCACGCGACCCGAAAGCTCCCGCGGACGTGACCGGTCCAAGTTGCAGCATGACGTGTCCCGGCAGCGTGCGTCAGACGCATGCGCGATGCCGCCTTACGTGGCATCGGCGCTCGCGGACGGCAGTCTCGGAGCCGTCGGGGTTGTCGGTCACATCGAGCCAACGTCGACCGTGCGTTTCCCGCAACGCGCTTCGCGTTCCGCACTTTCGCCCGCGGCGTCACGATTTGTTATGATTCAGACGTACTTCACGATATAACGTAAGTTTGCTGCGCGCCTTGCGCGCGCGGGGATCCGTCGGTGTCCTCGCGCGCGACAGTCCCGATGGGGGGTTTTGAAACGTCAGGTACGCGGGGCCCCCCCCGTCGTTTTCCAGCCGCTAATATTTTGTGACCCGCTACGCCCCGGGTTCTATTTCAACGGGGTCTCGCGCGGTGACGTCACGCGTGCGCGTGAAACACGCCGAGCACGTCACTCGCGACTCTACACCCCGCACCGCGAAACGTGACTCTCTCTTTCCCCCGTGCAGGCTACCCTTCACCCCCTCGGAACGTCTCGGTGCCCCCGTTTCTCGCGTTATTTACTCGATCTCGTTTGTATCACGTTTATTATGCATATCGCGTATATTATAGGTTATGGTAATAAAACTGTATTGATATTGGAATATTCACGCATTTTCTCACGTGCTGCGCGCTTTAAAGAGTAATTTCCCCCGCGCCGCGTTTGCACGGAAATTGGATGCTCGCGCTGTTGTTTTCGAATACGCCTTCGATGTATTTACAGTTTGCACACGTACACACATACCTGTGACTTTGTTGTGGCAGATGCAGCACATCCAAGAAGTAGGAAGGCAGCATCCATATGCTGCGCCCATGCCGCCGATAAACAATCAACAGAACTTCATGAAGCCGCCAATCGCCGGGGAGCAGAATCTAAATCTGCAGAGTCCGCAGATGCACCCGCACTTACTGTCAGCGCCGTCCGCGGATCGCTCTCAGATAATGGGCCCGCCGACGGCGGGCGTTCCCGGTTCTCAGTTACCTCCGCGTTTGCCCGCGGGCCCTCACGGGCCGCACGGGCAAGCTCCCGTTGGCTACCAAGTTCACGGGACCAATCACCCAAACGCCAACCTGCTCCAGTCCGGGATGCCGCCGTACAATTCGGCGCCGCCGCCACCGTTGCCGTCGCAGGTCGCGGCGAGCCCGGCAGATCCAGACCCGTCGCAGTTCGCTCCGCCTCCTCCTCCGCCCCTCTCGTCGGGGCAACCCATGGCGAGTCCCCCGGGGCCCGGTTACCCTCAGGCGCGACAGAAGCAGTATTTACCGCCGATGCCGGGCCAGGGTCTGACGAGTCCCGTAGGGCCGGGCTTGTCGCAACCTGGCCAGAAGCAGTACGGCGGCTCCATGCCTCCGTTACCGGGGCAGGGTCTAGCCAGTCCTCTGGGGATGAACCGTGCGTCGCCTGGCGTCACCTCGGGCTACCAGCAACTGGCGTACCAACAACAGCCTGGATATCACAACCAAATGGTACAATTGCTTGAAACGCTCCGCCGTCTTGCGAGTAATTAAGATTACTTTACTGTTCGGAAAAGAGTGACGATCGTCTTCCTTTTGCAGGACATGTATAACAATCAGAGAAACCTGTATCAGAGTAACGCACCGAATGCCACGGGATACCAACCGGGATTGCAGCCTCAACAAGCTAGGCGACTTGACCCGGAACAAATGCCGAGTCCGGTACGAGTTGGACGCTGGATCCTTTTCGATCCGGTTTAGGCGCCGGTGTTGCTTATTGTCTCGAGTCGAGCTAAGCCTGTGTCCTTTAATGTGTAGATCCAAGTGATGCAAGACGATCAAAATATGAGGGGCGGCGTGTTCATAACGAATCAGAAAGGTCTCGTGCCGCCGTTGGTGACGACAAATTTCGTGACTCAGGATCAAGGAAACACCTCGCCCAGATACATCAGGTCCACTATGTACACCGTTCCCACCACTACCGACATCATAAAGCAGGTACATTGGAATAGACGGAGAGTCGGTTTTCTTATTTCGGTGTTATCGATCACATGATGCATTCGTATCTTACGCAGACCAATGTTCCCTTCGGACTCGTGATAAGTCCGATGGCTCGTATCGTGCAAGGGGAATGCGAACCACCGATTGTAGACATGGGCGAAATTGGACCGGTACGTTGCATACGCTGTAAAGCCTACATGTGTCCGTTCATGCAATTTATCGACGCCGGTCGAAGGTTCCAATGTATGTTCTGCAGAGCGACGACGGAAGGTAACGATTGCGAAATTACTTAACAAGTGCTCGCGCAAGTTTGTTGCGTAAAATGATTGATATCTATGTTTCCTGCAGTTCCAAATGATTATTTCCAACACTTGGACCACACAGGTCAACGTTTAGATCGTTACGAGAGACCTGAATTAATGTTGGGTACATTTGAATACATAGCCACAAAAGATTATTGCAGGGTAATGTAAATTAATCAATTTTTCCACACTTTATCATTTACGTAGACCGTCTATTAAGCTTATCCTCGAATTCTGCTAAATTTATGCCTTGATCTCCACTGTGTTTATTCTTTTCGCAGGATAACGTTTTTCCAAAATCACCAGCCATTGTGTTCATAATCGACGTATCGTACAATACAATTAAATCTGGATTAGTGAACTTATTATGTACAAAAATGAAGTCCATAATAAAGAATCTACCTATTGACGCCGGACAGAGCAAAAGCGACATGAAAGTTGGCTTTATAACGTACAATAATACTGTGCATTTTTATAACATCAATCCTTGTCTTGCTCAACCACAAATGATGGTTGTTGGAGATATTCAAGATGTATTTATGCCGCTGTTGGACGGATTTCTGTGCGACGTCGAGGAGAGCGAGGCGGTGATCGACAGTCTTATGGCACAGATTCCCGAAATGTTTGCGGACACTGCAGAAACAGAAACAATCCTTGCTCCTGCCATACAAGCTGGATTGGAGGCATTAAAGGTACTCGAATAAAGCGCGCTTATATGTCTAATCTGGAAAGAAATCTAAACCTACAGAATTTATATACATCTCATTTTTTTCTCATTAGTAATTAAACGCAAGTTTAGTCACAGTTGGTGAATTCATTCGGTGGGGCTCAACGAAAGTAATTGTATCTGTGATTTCAGGCATCCGAGCGTTCTGGCAAATTATTAATATTCCATTCATCTTTACCAATTGCCGAAGCACCGGGGAAATTGAAAAACCGCGACGACCGCAAAGTACTTGGAACAGATAAAGAAAGAACGGTGCTAGGTACGTATTTTAATGTATCTAAATATGCAAATCTACGTACCTAAGCTATCGATTAAGCGCAGTCTCAAGTTCGTCGGATCAGCCGTTGTTGAGATCCGAAATTCTGAGGGCCCGTCAACTCGCGCACTCGCGTAAACTACACGGTCGGTGTCGCGCGCGTGGTTTAGCTTGTCACTTTAAAACTTTTCGCTTATACTTGGCGCGAGACACTACCGTGTCTCGTGATACCGTATCCATTTATCCAAATACACCTATAAAGTGCTCACGCGTACTAACTTACGTAAAATGATTTTGTTTTTCACAGTGCCGCAAAATAACGTCTATAATAATTTGGGTCAAGAGTGTGTCGTCGCAGGTTGCAGTGTAGATTTGTTTGTCTTTAATAATTCATATGTAGATATAGCAACAATTGGTCAAATTTGTCGTCTCACTGGAGGAGAGGTTTACAAGTACACTTATTTCCAAGTGAGTTATACCGTTATAATAGAAATATATACGAATACTCAAATTAGATGCTTATTAGAAAATAATATTTTATGAAAAATACTTGTAATTACACCTTACTTCACAAAGCAAAGATATTCGAAAATGTAGTCTTGCGATTTCTATTGCAGGCCGATCTCGATGGCGAAAGATTAATTTCAGATGTTGTTAACAATATAAGTAGGCCAATCGCTTTTGACGCTGTTATGCGAGTACGTACGTCTACAGGCGTCAGAGCGACCGACTTCTACGGGCATTACTTTATGTCCAATACAACTGACATGGAATTAGCCAGTATAGATTGCGATAAGGTATACTAAGTTATATCATAATTATAGTTAATTACAGACTCACATTACTATGGTTATTATAGAATGTAGAACAAACAATTTTACTGAACTAATTTTACTTTTTTTTTTTAACTTACAAGGCCATTGGAGTAGAAATTAAACACGATGACAAACTAACAGATGACGAAGGTGTGTACATTCAAGTGGCTCTGCTGTATACTTCCTGCGGTGGTATTAGAAGATTGCGAATTATAAATCTGAGCCTGAAAACTTCATCGCAAATGGCCGAATTATATCGCGCATGCGATTTGGATGCCATTATGAATTATTTTTCTAAGCAAAGTAAGATACAAGTCGTATAATTATGAACATAATGTTCGTTTAAATGATAACATGTGATCATTCTCATTTAGATGTTTTTAAACTACTGGAATCTACTCCAAAAACGGTGAAAGATAATTTGATTGCACGATGTGCAAATATGCTGGCTATATATCGAAAACACTGCGCAACACCATCCAGTGCTGGGCAATTAATATTACCAGAATGCATGAAGTTACTTCCACTTTACATAAACTGTTTATTGAAAAGCGATGCATTATCGGGAGGTAAAAGTGTATTCTATATAATTATATATTCAACTGGTGATGTTATTTTTTATGTTGAATATACTCTTTCCCCATTGTAGGAGCTGATATGACCATTGATGATAGATCTTATGTAATGCAAGCAGTCGCAACAATGCCTATTTCCATATCCGTTGCATATACTTACCCTAGATTGTTTCCTTTGCACGATGTTGATCCACAGGATACGGAACTGCCTCCAATGTTGCGGTGCTCTATTGATAAATTTACAGACGATGGCGCTTATTTACTTGGTAATATTCAAATTATATATTATTGACGTACATAATCAAAATTATTGATATCGTTTTAAATTATATATAAAATTATAAATAATACAATTCAACACAAAACATTTTATTACACTATGTCACAAGTAAATTCTAACATTAAAAAAAATTGAATGCTAAAATTGTAAAAAGAGAGCTATTTTAACATATTTTAGAATTAAATATATTATTAAAACATTAGAATATACGGAAGCGATAGCAGTATTATTTTATATATTTTATTTTGTAGAAAACACCATCCATATGTTCTTATGGTTGGGCATGGCGCTTTCTTCGCAATGGGTACAGAGTGTCTTCGGAGTAACTTCGGTGGTCCAAGTCGATACAGATTGTACAACATTGCCGATCTTGGACACTTCTTTAAATAATAAAATCAGGAATATTATTAATCGAATAAGTGCAGAAAGACATCGCTGTGTGAAAGTAAGTTACTTTATATAATGTATGAGTGAATCGCACTAGAGCGCAATACAATTCCTTCTCTGTTGCAGTTAACAATTGTGAGACAACGTGAAAAATTAGAAGTGGTGTTACGCCATTTCTTGGTTGAAGATAGAGGAAATGATGGAAGTCCTAGCTATGTAGATTTCCTATGCCACATGCACAAAGAAATAAGAACACTTCTTAGTCAATAAATAATTTTTTAAGTACTCGGCTAACTTGTATTCGAACTCGGGCTCATCGATGATTTGTTATCTCGCTGCCTAAAGGAATTTAAGCAAAGCATTGTTCTCAATCATTGTATTTTTATGCATCTAAGCATGCATTAAAATTTAAATGTTGCATAGACACGCACATACACGCACACATAGGATGGTCCGCTTGTGCATTTTTAATATTTTATTTTGAATAACAGAAAAAAAATTGAAGCTAAGTTTTCGAGAGGCGTGTGTGTGTGTCTGTGTATGTATATGTAATGTACCATAGACTAAAGGAGACTCAAAAGTACAAATGTATTCTTCAACAAACATAAAATCGCTTTCTTTTAAAAGTTGAATTATCAAATAATAATACCGTAGAACAAACTAATTTAATAATTAAGATCACAAAAGTTAATGTTTGTTTTACATTTTTATTTTCATATACCGTTTAAATAGCCGTTAAGTTATAAAATCATAATTTTGCATAAAAGATTATTTGGTAAATTTCCTTTTATCAATTGATAATATAATAAAGAGAACTCGATTTTTTTTTCAACTCTGGAACGAATACATGTGTACTTCTCGTCAATCTCCGTTTGAAACATATTCCATTTTAGACAGACGCAGACTGACAAATTTGAAAAAACACAGGTAATCATTCCGACAGATACCGATACGTACGAAAGAATAGCCACATTTACATCTTTCAGTCGTATAGAAAACACAAGAATATATATATAAAATTGTATTACTTTCTATTTTAGGTCATTAATGTTATTACCGTATATATTACGTTAATAAAGTATGCTAAATCATATAAATTCATATATTAATATTTGTATTAGTTTTTTTGTTAATAATATTACAGAATTAGATAATTATATATTAATATTATTTAGGATTAAATTGTATTTACGAAAAGTTGAATTTTTGTTTCTAACTATACGCTAAACGAATAAAAAATGTGGGTGAGATGAATTGTAATCACAATTATAACGGAATAGACAAAATAATTGAAAACAATTTGTAGAATTAAATTTGTGAATTGTCGAAATCATATTATCCGAAGGGAGATTCTCGACACATAAAAGTAAAATAATTGTATATTTGTATCTAAATGAATTTTGATTTTATTTATGCATCAAACACAAAATGCACAAGGGATATTGCAATGTAACGGTATCATTGAAATGCAAGATTTTAATATCAAGAGATTACATTTTGAGCTTGAAAAATAAATTCTATAACAAGTATATCGTGCGCGCGCGTACACGTACGAAAGCAAGGATAGATTTAATCTTCCACGACAATTTGCATAAATATCCGAACTAACATAATTTTAATAAATCTTTTAATATTAAAAAAATTTTGGTAAAAACCATGCAACATATTGTACAAGGTGTCTCTGAAATAAATGAAATTAAGGGGAACGTGTTCTTTAATTAACTTATACAATTGATTCGTCCTCAATATATTTTCTCACTTTTGCCAAAAGTATACGCTCGGGTGTAAAGTAGTGTGAGTGATGAATGAAGGACTTCACTTTCACTCTTCAGCCATTCGTGTTTAACTTGATGTAATCGCATTCCGATATTTTGCGATACTAAGAAAAGTACGTTTTATTACTTCAGTCGGACGTCGCTGTTATCGTCGTGTAGACCTAGGCTTTTATCGACTACTGTACAAACGTAAGGAACAATATCGATCTCGGGAGATTTTTTCAAAGTAGTGACATTTATCTGAGATCTGAAATCAAGTATGTTGTGAGGAGGCAGATACCGAGTCACGAGGGACCTTGATATACGGATTCTACATATGTTAATTATCCAAACGTGTGTTCTAAATTGTCAACTAAGAATACACATTAATGCAATCTAAGTGCAGTCATATTTTGCAAAGATATTAGCAATGAATGAATTTAATTGTTCTTACGATGATCTAAAGTTTGACGAGGCCTGCGTAAGTGTAATATCTGACGATGGCAACTTCGATAAGTGGCTCTATTCGCTCTCTACGGATTGCTTATCAGTAAGTACAATCATGATACGCATAATTTTTTAATCTAATTCCTATAATGTAATAAATAATCGTGTTAGCTTGTGATATTTTGTTTAATAGTAATTTATAAACGTAACGAAATTGTGTAAAGAAGGAAAACTTAATCAATTCTTATTAACGAATTACTGATAAGTAGAGGTACTTCAGCAATACTCTACTTTTAAGTAGAGTATTATTATAAATAAATGCGATAAAATCGATTTTCAAAGAGAAAGAACAATTAATATATTTCACGTTTAATGTAAAACTTTTTTAGACAGTACACAACATTATCGCCATATGACCCATATATTTCTAACTTTCTGCTTTTCTTTATTAGTGTCCATATAAACGGATGGCACGGATTTCGAGCAATCCCAGCTTGAAATTTAGTACGATTAAAGCGGTAAAATGGAGAGTATTAAACAATAGCGGTACCGACGAATATGTATCTGCTGAAAGTACAAGGTAAACTTATTATTGTATATGTATGCAAGTGTAAATACGCGTGCCCTATTTTTCTACAATCTAGATAAACGTTTGTAGTGTCGTTTAAACTTTTTTTCTTTTAAGTGAGAGCAACAAATTTTTTTAAGTTTTGACCAGCTTAGTTTTAGAACAGTTTTTACACGTTTTGATTCTTCTAATCGTCCTATATGTAACAATATTTGAATAAAATTATAAATAAACATCGGTGGCTTATAAAAAATTTTATATTTTATTCTAACATATTTTGATATAAAAGTATGAAATATGTGTGTTATAAAATACTTAATTTTTAATGAATTTACATTGAAACTTTTACACATTGATTACGTTTAAGAAAAAACTAACATACCAGATTATCAGGTTGAACCGCGCGATTAAATTATTTCACAAATTCTGCGGATGTATCGTTTTATCTTATTTTAATGATTCTCAAATCTTATCTTTTAGCAATATTGTTTGTCAACTGTCGCCGAATCTCGGGCAATATGGTTTATATGAATTGGCGATACAAAATAATACGTGTAACGTCAGAACTGTGAAGAATTCAACATATCCGTACACAGGTATGTTTCTAAATATTCTCACGTTTTCGTAAATAACTTACGATATAAGTGATAAATGACTACAGAAACATCAAAGAGTCATCTTAGAATTATACAATTTGAACGTATAATATATCAATTGATAAAGCGTATCTTATGTAAGCGTATCTTATTAGTGGCTATATCGTTTTATTTATCCATTAAACTCGATAATTGGCAAGATTGATATCACGATATCAATAATATCGAGAAGAGAATTATTGAACGTCGGATTATAATGAACAATCTAAAGATCAATTCAGATATTGTAATTCTAAACTTTGAAGGATACATTTTTGCTCTACATTAATTTGCGAAAATACGAAGTGAATAAAATTTGGATAAATTTAAAACACGAAAAGCCATTTATGAAAAGAATTACAGTCTCGATACGAGACTGATACTTACAATTAGCTATGCATAATGTTTCATAGCTTTTTATAAAACACAGGAATAAACAAGATAATCGCCAATTTTATCATTTATTTTGTTTGTCGATCGACACAACAGTTGTCACTAATAAGCTATACTTTTTATTTAATTGTGACTAGAAAACGAAATCGTAGCTTTCAATAAATATTATTTACAGAACTCTTCATTGTTTTGGGGGTAATTATATTTATCTTATGTGGTATATCTGCTGGGAGATCTTTATGGCACATCTTTAAAAGACGATGCGTAAAAGTCAGGGATGAATCAAATGCTAAACCAACAAAACGTCGCGTAAAAGCTATCGATGCATTCAGAGGGTATGTGCATAGATACGTTAAAAAATTAAGGCGGCGTTTCAATAATGACATTACTGAATGATTACACCTTTTCAAGCGTTAATATATTATGCAGCTCTGATTATTTAGAAATCAATACTTCTAGGAATTTCTTACAATACTAATACAATTGCTTATACAATGCAGGGTCAGTACTCTCTTCATGATTTTTGTTAATGATGGCTCCGGTAGTTACACCATATTAGGACATACAACTTGGAATGGCATGTTACTGGGGGATCTAGTATTTCCTTGTTTTATATGGATCATGGGTGTTTGCATACCTATAGCTTTGTCGGTGCAGTTAAAACGTGGATTTTCCAAGCTTCAAATCGGTTATTCCATTTTAAAGGTAATTGATAAAAGAAAAAGATGAAGAACACGATTTATATGTATAATATAATAATTGATAATAAAAAAAAGAGTCAAGTACATATTATGTGTTATAAGATTAAGCTGTAGGATTATAAAGAAATATTATTTTAACCTTAACAGTATTTCTACGAAAATCTGTTAATATTTAATTTTTATATGTGACATTTCTAAAAAAATTATTAATTGTAAGAGTGTAGGAAATATGTTCCGTTATTAGTGAAACGAAAATTAACGTAAATGCATTTTCTAAAATTGTATAATATGTTCGCGTTCGCATAAGCCCCGTTAACGTTACGTCCATATAAAAGTTTCGCACATTTTTATCTTAACAAAATATTAATAAATATCTTATATCTTAATATATCTTTTGTTTCTTAGAGAAGCTTCCTTCTATTTCTGATAGGCGTTGCGTTGAACACACTGGGAACAAACGCGCAATTGGAAAACATACGCATATTCGGAGTTCTTCAACGATTCGGAGTTACATATCTTGTCGTTGGCCTAATGTATCTTTGTTTTCCAGTCCAACAATCAAACCCTCAGGTATAAAAATATTAAATACTACTTTCATAAATCTATATAATAGATGTGTTACATTCTACCTCGTGCAATCGTATTTTTCAAATTTTTAAAGGTTTTTTTAATATCATATTCTTCATATATTAAACATAAATTTATTCAATTAAAAAATTTTTTAGACACACTTGTTAACAATTGACATTTAGCGTCGAATCTCCCTTCATAGTTTAATCTTTATATTTACTTGACTCGCAGATTTTATCATCTTCGCGAGAAAGACGATCTATTACTGTACAATTTTTTTTAAATAACACGTTTTTAAAGTTTAATCTTCTAGTTCCACCCAAACAATCGTACTACCATTTTTAACGCATAACAATTGTTTATATAATTTCATAATACACGAATTACAGTTAGTGACATAAATTCTTCACGTATTTATAGGACTCGTCGCCGACTTCGATAACACGACACATACGAGACATATTAAGTTTTTTACCACATTTATCTTTAATGTTGTTCCTAGTATTGGTGCATTGCGCTCTAACGTTTGGTCTTCCAATCCCCGAATGTCCCACGTATGTACATCGATTTTGTTTCGAGCTCCAGTTTTTTCAATGTTACATTTTATTATGTGCGTTAATAAATAACAACGAATTTACGTGCGTTACAGCGGGTACCTTGGACCAGGTGGAAGACACGAAGATGGCAAATATTTTAACTGTACCGGAGGTGCGGCTGGATATATTGATAAAACCGTACTGACTTTAAATCATATTTACCAAAATCCAACTATCAAATTCGTTTATGGATCCGGACCTTTTGATCCCGAAGGAATTTTGGGTAACTCTTGTCGCGTTATTATTACAATTATATGCAATTATTGATTTATACATTTACAAAATATTTGTTCAATAATACGAATCTGTAATTGCATGATATCTACCCTGGCGGAAAAGAATTCTACAAATAACTACAAAAAATTGACTTGAAATAGAAATTTGTAGAAATTTTTATATCTTCGTTGAAACATTTTTTTTAAATATCTACGAAATAGTACCACAAATTACAATGTTCTCAAATCAAGAAATTATTGCAAGTAGTGTTTCATGAAAATGTACAATTTTGTAAAACTTAGTACAAAACTTTACTAGTTTTAAAAATTGGAGAGCAAACAAAATCTTAAAGAATTAAAACATCTGCTTACTTGTAGAATATTACAAAAATGAACAAAAGTGTTTCAATTCTAGCACTTTCATGTTGATTTTAATGACACTTTTTTAATTCGCGTAGAATTTCGTAGATTCTGTCAGTTATATTTAACGTTTTTGTAGAATTTTGTAGAATTATTTCCGGCAGGGTAAACTTGTGAAAAGCGATAACTGAACTTATGATAAAAAATTAAACTCCAGTTTAAACTGTTAGTTTCAATTAACAAAACTATATAATCAGTATTATATGTTCCTCCAGGGTGTCTTACAGCGATATTTCAGGTATATCTAGGTGTACATACTGGTGTAATTCTGATGATGTATAAAGACTGGAAAGATCGTGTTATCAGATGGCTTTTGTGGGCTGTGTTTTATGGTTGTTTGGGTTGCGCCTTTCACTTCACCAACGTTATTCCCGTTAATAAAAATTTATGGTAAAGTATTAATAAAGTCTATTTCTATTATTATTATTATTATTGCTGTAAATATTAATTCTAGTGATTTTATTTTAATACAAAATTATAATAACTCTTCTGTAAATCGATATAATTATGCAGGTCTTTGTCATTCGTATTTGTTTCAACTTCTTTTGCTGTGGCATTCCTTTCTGGTTGTTACTTGCTAATCGACGTTATTGAAATTTGGCGAGGTGGTCCTTTCAGAATACCCGGTGAGTGAAAACACGTTTTTTAAGACACATTAGATAAATTGAGCAAAGGTTCTCTGTATATTAATTAAAATAAAAATTTTATTTAATTTTAGTTGGTCAACTTAAATTGCAGAATTAAACTTTAAATTATATTGGCAACAAAAACCAACGCATTTATCTTTTAACATAAACCAAATATTAATTTCAGGCATGAATGCACTGGTGTTATATGTGGGTCACAGCATGTGTTATCAGATTTTTCCGTTTCATTGGAAGATCGGTGCCATGGACAGTCGTATTTTATGTTTAATAGAATCAGTTTGGGTGGTAACACTCTGGGCGATTATAGCATATATTATGCATCGTAAACGAACATACATCACACTTTGAATTATATCCGCTTCTAGCTTATTATTATACTACATTATATTTTCAATTTAGTTAACATATAAACGATACAGGCTGTTTGCGTGTATGAACTAAAAAATTACATGTAAGATAACTTCATAAGATAATAATGTTGAAATTGGTTTAGAATAAAGCAGATCTTCGAAATTTAATTAATAATATGTTATGCAATATATGTATGTTATTTTAATAATATACGATAATTATTATGCGTACGTTAAATTTTGTAAACTGATCATATTGCATTTTTTAATAATTAGAATATTTATTAACATCGGGGTTGGGAAGTTACCTTATGAGATGTATCCAAATACGAGCATCGCTTATCGTCCGTAGTTATCGCAGTGAAGAAGTAATTGCAAGTTTTACCTTTGATGTCAATCGACGGCCGAGCATCGATGGCAAATCGCGAGGATTCGGCGAACGCGCGATGATATCGGCCGCTAATTATTCGCAGAGAGCGATTGTATTTTCTTCACGTACTTGTCGAAAATGCGTACCACGAAAGACTAGTTCATTGTCGCAATGTCGCCGCCGCGTGACTGACACTGACCTTGCGTGACGTGTTTCGCCGAGCGGCAAAAACCGAGCACGAATTCCAAGAAATGACGTAGCTCCATAGACCGAGCGTAGTAAACACGGTCGCCGAGCGCCGGTTCCAAAAAAAACGTCGCGTCGTTAACGCCTCGATCGAGAACAATCTAGTGAGCCGAATTAGTCTGCGTGGTTCAGTCGAGCGAGGCGGACGTTCCGCGCGTCGTCGCGTCGCTTCTGCTAACGCGATTATCTTTTGCGCAAAGCGATCGTCTCGTACGAGAGATATTAATATTTGTCAATCGCGTTTAAGTAAGTGTCGCGATCCGTAATCATATCGTTGATCTCAACAGTGATTTGTCGAGATAAAGATCACGCGGGTAATTATTCAGAATAGCTACACCACCTCCAAAATCAATCAAATTGGTCTCATTCGACGCGTTTTTCAACAAGAAACAACTTTTTCCTTAGACAAAATCGTCGCTCTGTCCTGCGAAGCGAGATATTAATTGTTAAAGTCGACAACTTTTAGGGTTAGGAAATCTGTCATACCGACAAAATCAGACTAAATGCACGTCATATGCAGTGACGTATTTCCACGTGAAGCGAGATCCACTCCACACATCAGACACGGTTTGGGTAGGGTTATATCTTAACGAAGTGGAGCCCCCCGAAGGGGGGGGGGGCGGAACATACTGTCTTCACGCACACATTTTTCCATCTACATTTGGTGGAGAGGAGTGACTTACATGAGGGTAGAAAAATGTATGCGTGGAGACAGTACGTTCCGCCCCCCCTTCGGGGGGGAGGGGGCTTCACCTCGTTAAAAATAACCCTACCCACCCTATGTCAGAGGTGTGGAGTGGACCTCGCTTCACGTGGAAAGTTGCAAACCCATGTGGAACAGTACAACGGCGGAAGTACGTGCGTGGAGACAGTATGTTCCGCATGACAGATTTTCTAACCCTAAAAGTTGTCAACTTTAACAATTAATATCTCGCTTCGCAGGGCAGAGCGACGATTTTGTCTAAGGAAAAAGTTGTTTCTCGTTGAAAAACGCGTCGAATGAGACCAATTTGATTGATTTTGAAGGTGGTGTAGCTATACTGAATGTTATTTTACCGATACCGAAAAATCATAACATATCGATCGCTTGCCAAGAAATAATCTCTCGAACGTAAAAAAGTGCGCGTATAACGTAAAGTGTCCATCTTCGTCGCGTTCGGGAGTGCCGTTTACATGATCGAACACTAAAGACTTTTCAAGACCCATTCAAAGTCCGTTCCTGTCGATGACTTCTGAGATTTAGCAGTGTTTGAGATATAATACTCGTCGACTCGAAGCGGAGGCGAACTTGACGGAACCAAATACATATTTCGCATGGGCTTCAGAAAACGGGAGTGTAAAATCGCGCGAACGAACTTTGTGTTTTCGCGAGTGTGCCGGAGGACAATCCGAGAGGAGGAGGAGGCCCAGGAGAGGCATCGGGCGCCAGCGGAGCAACTTTAAGGTAATCATATTTTATTTAGTGTAAAATCACTCTTTTTCCCAGTTCATTTTGAGTCGTTTCATCTCGTAATTCTGTAATTTCTAAATAGTAATTCGAGAACAAGAAATCATTTACAATCTTATAAAAGTTTATTCTCGCGAAGATCTTTTGCGGAACATCTTTCGCGCATTAATCGTTGAAACATCCAACCAAATAAAACGTTTGATAAGAATTACTTATATTTTACAATGTATATTTTCTTGAACTGCTTTAATAAATTCCACATTTGTTCGTTACAGATTCAACATAGCTCACTCCGCTGCTGCCCGTCGGGTGGTAAGTCCAAAACTTTTTTTCGACAAGGCAACGAATCTACATTTCGTAGATCGTAGATTGTATATGGTAGATCGTAGATTAGTATATCTCCTAGATTCGTTGCCTTAAAATGGATTGGCTACAATAATTTCATGTTTATTTTAATATATTTCATCTATCGAAAGGGAGTGATCGCGATTTTTACTGTTGAAGGGTTGGGTGCTCCATAGCAGCACATCACACATTTTCACGTAAAATATGGAATATTCTCGATGTATTCGTAATCTCTTGTAGCCTATCCATTTTTCATGAACAAATTTATGTACAAATTAAATTGTGTGACGTGAGATTCTATTATTTTGTCCAGAAATGCTGAAACTTTATATTATTTTGATAAATTCTTTGAGATTATTGATTACTAGAATATTCAATTGTCGGTCTGTATATCGAACGGAATGTTTCTTTTCTCTGGATCTCACGTCACTTATCCTGTATGTGTATCTCCGCGATACACTTTCAAGATGCGTCTCGCATGAATACATGCGTAGCTACATGCATCTTTGTATTTTCGCGGTCGGTCTTCGCGTTCACTTTTTTAACAAATTTAGAAGAAATTATTAATTGCTTAATTTCATCTATATTATAAATTATAATTTATCGCGGAATGTAATTAATTAAAATAAATATAACGCGAAGTAAATTGTTTTTTTCTATATACATATATTTTTAAATTTAAAAATTGAGTCACGATGAGACAGTCATTATCTATTCTCGAATAAATAACGGAAGTAAACATATATTTGATTAGTTTCGTACAGTAAATTTTTTAAATTAATTTTCTCCTTTAATTAACTACTCGTGGTCGTGCATTTCAATACTATAGTTCGAATCGTACGAAACTTCTGTCGGTGACGATAATAAACCGACTATGGGAGGAGTTTTCTTCCTTCCTGATCTCTGGTCAAAATGACCAGACTGTATGGCCAGGAACAACGAATGGTAGGTCCAATCTGGCCCAACGAGGGAATACGACGAGATAAGTGGTCAATATTGGCCACTTTGATAGAGTATGTAAGTGAGGTACCGTGCGAAATAAGTTGATGTCTTCTTATTTGCCAAAATTCGGGTGGGTTATATTTTTCACATATTCTCACATATGTGCAAAATTAAAATGACTCCTATTAAATCGCGCGCGCATCGCCCCAAATCGGACCTCTTATAAATCGCGTCGCGGTTTTAACGAAAGACTTGTAGGTTTATTAACAAAAAGTTGAAACGCGGGTAGGTAGGTAGGTAGAGATTCGGAAGGCAGTGGCAGGGGGACATAACTCGATAATTTAAAAAATTAATGAAATTATAACTATAATGTATTACTATTAAATATAATTATACACTACTCAAAAGAAATATGGCATAGAAAAATTTTATGCAAAAATTGGTCAACTTTGACTGACGGTAACTCCGCGAAAAATCATCGTAAAATTATGTTCTTTTTTTTAAATTAAAGCTTGAAATCTCTACTTTAAGATACTATAGTTATTTTTTAGGTGTGATGCATCCCTACCACTGTAACACCTTAAATGTGAGGGCATGTTTGTTATATTGAAAATTGCAAAGTTTGACGGAGTGCATGGGCTAGGTACATTTTTTTCGGGGATACTGTTTGCAGGAACATAAAGTACAAACCTTCCTCTTCGATTTAAAAAAAAAGCGAGTCGCTACCATTTTTTTTCGCAAGGACACAGTACTTTAAAGTAACCCTTGCATTATTGGCATATACCGCCGGTATTGGCATTACCCGATGTGCACCCCTGAAAAGAGCCGTTTGTGTGTGTGTGTCTGTGTCTGTGTGTGTGTCGCGTGTGCGTATGTGTGCGTGTGTGTGTGTAGAATGACTCATTTTCGGGGTGCTTGATTAAAGTGAGTCCCCTTGCCTCTCACTTGTGTGTGTGTGTGTGTGTGTGTTAAAAATTTAAAAAACGCGT